AACTAGAATACTTTTTTTTTTAAATTTTGCTGTTGTTTAGAATGACAAAAGAAAATAAAGAATTCTCATTTTTCAACATTTTATCCGAGTCAATAACGAAAATTTCAAAAATGTGTTTCGTAGATATATCTCGGTGAGTTATATACATGCTGAAAACTTCATCGAAAGCGTGAAAAGATTTTCACAATTACAAGTTCAAAACTTCTCACTTATATATCGGTCTAAAGTGTCAATAACTATAAAAACGAGACGCAAGACTCGAATAGTCGCATCTCTTCTTCCCAAATTGTCCATGTTTGTTTACAACCTTGGGAAAATTCGAGAGAATTTACTGTAAATAGAAATATTCGAGCAGCTCCGTGTAATCGAATGACGTAATTGTAGGTGGTTGATGTAAAGACTTATCTGTGGGACATACTTTTAAACGCATCATTACCAAATGAATCGTGCACCAAGTGACATAGTTACCAGATCAAAGCATTTCATGAATTAAACAATGGTCTTTAAAAGTTTTGTCATCAATTTGAAGCGTCTATGGGCTATTTTGTTATGTTTACTATTTGAACTATTTAAACGTATTTATGGATACCGAAAGGAGTTTCAATCGTATACATCGATTACTACAACAATGTTTTCAATTATCAAAATTCATCGTGCACTCTGATTTGTCCGATTTTAATTTTCGCCAGTAACATATCATTTAAAAACTGTACTGTTTGCTTTGTCTCCTTATCTGGCAAGTAATAGAGAAAGTAGAAATAAAAGACTTTCAAACTCATCGTGCTACATGCGCATTCTTCCGCTTATGCTAATAATTGATAACATTCGTCGGTGAACTTGAATGGTGTAACTCTCTCGCTACAAAATCGGTACGAACCACGATTTCACTGTTCCGACATTCCGCGGAAATCAAGAATCTCTATTGAAACGTGTTCGACGAGAGGAAAGGTTGATACCTGCAATAAGGGCCAAACGAATAGTATAATTTAGAAATAATGCAGAAGATAAAGTAAATAATTTTTGAAAGTATTCGATTTAAACAGCGAAGGGGTTGAGCGAACTGCGAACATCTATCAGAATCAAATTTACGTGTCGACTTGAGAGTATGGTGATTCAGAATACAGTAAATTCTCCCTAATTCGCGCTCAAATTGCGCACAAAAATGGACAGTTTGAGAAGAGTAAGAGATTATTCGAGTCTCGCGTCTTGTTTTTATAGTTGTTGACAATCGATGACTGTAAAAACGAGACGCAAGGCTCGAATAATCGTATCTCCTCTTCTCAAATTTTTCCATTTTTGTGTGCAATCTGAGCGCGAATTGGGATGAAATTACTGTATCTTATAGCTTCGCGCGCGGTTTTTCTTATCTGACTCACATCCAAACAGATCATTTCGTATTGTTTTCCGGGAATTCTAGTCAAAGGAGCTGCGTCACGTGCCGCAGTACACGCTCGACCGCAACCCGAAATTTGTCATTCTAGAAAAAATTTACCGTATTCTGCAGAATGTAGAAAATTGAATTAGCAAAGAGGAGAATAAGTGGAGGTTGAGATCGATTAAGAAACGAAGATTGAGATCGATTAAGAAATAGGGATTGAGATTGACTAAGAAATGGGAACTGTTCTCACCGATGAATTCCACGAAGCAAACCGAGAGCAACATCGGATAGGTCGCAGCTGTGCGTTACGATTTCCTGATCGAAGGCGTAACAGCGAGGCAAAATCAAATATCCGAGGAAGGATTGCATTTAAAGTGACTCGCAATTACGCAACGAAAGTGTCCGATGTTGAAACGCGCTTTCGTTATTTCGCCGACAGTATCGAATGCCGTTTCGAGAAACGAACGGGTAAACGAATCAACGAGAAACATTAATCTCCGCCGTGGCTAATGGAGAATTGTTGTCGACGGTGCAATCCGATACGTTCGTCGTTTAACAAGTTCCTCCGATGATCCACGAATCTTATTTTCCCGCACGCTCCTAAGGGACGTATAGTTTCAACGTTATTTCAATCAATTTATTCCTGCTTTTCCGATGGAAGTGCGCGTCGTATCACCTGCCGCGAACCCATTTGCCTATCCGAGCCATTATATTCCCGTATGAATTTCAGAGAAATATTGTGCGCCGTTCGATAGAGAAATCGACAGCCAAATAAACAAGCTGTGGACTTTTATGCGTTTGTAGCATTTTTGTGCCAAACATCGTAGACATCGATGAACGCTGACGATCGATATACAGGGTGTCCTATAAATGTCTCGCGATCCGGAATGGGGTGATTCCTGAGGTCATTCGAAGTAACTTTTTCCTTTGCAAAAATTTTCTCCGAGGCATCGTTTACGAGTTATCAACGAAAGAACAGTGACCAATGAGTGGCGAGCGCGGCTACCGCGTGGCGGTCAACGAGCGCACGAAGCCTAGTTCCGCCCATTGGCTCGGCCGTCTCGCGTCAGCTGATCTCGCCTCTCATTGGTCACTGTTCTTTCGTTGATAACTCGTAAACGATGCCTCGGAGAAAATTTTTGCAAAGGAAAAAGTTACTTGAAATGATCTCAGGAACGAAAGTATAACCTCGGTATACGAATGAGCGATGGAAATGAAACGAAAATCAATACATACCTGTGGACACGATATGCTATGGAATTTCGTGCAATTCTGGAAAACGATGTCTGTACCATTCCGTCTTACAGTTGCGTGAATCTGCGGGCAAAATCCGGTGGTTCTCGTTAAGCACCACTCGCCGCAACTCGCCCAGCCACAATTATTAGCCAAGGTGGTATCAATGGTTTGGCACATGACTGGATCCGGCTCGATTCCCGCGTGAAAGGCTCTGGAATTAATTGCATCGGCTTCATTAATATCTCGCTCGAACGAGTGACGTTTGAATTTTCCACGAGGGAACACGATAATCCGCGCATTCATTCCTCGAATCGTTGATATTAACCGTGGCCGAAAGATACGTGTAATTAAAATTTCTTGTAATATGTAATAATCGGCTCGCTTTTTCAATTATTTCTTGCTTAATGATGATTTTTAAATTATTTCCACGTACGATCAAATAAACAAAGTAATTTCATATTTATTCCAAAGTAGTACTTCGATTTCAAATCGGGACAGTTTGCAATTGTTTTTGCAAGTTACAATAATCTCGCTTTCCGATACGAAACAATGAGATATAATATTTATTTGAACACATATAATTAAGATAGGTTGGAAAACGAGTTGAATTCGATGGTACGCGGATAGGGGAATGGCTAGTTTTAAATGGCCGAGGAAATAAAGGTCGGATGAGCCGTAACTTAATTAGAATCGGCCTCGGCGAAATGAATCGATATAGCCTTGTTGTTAACCTGTGGGAGGGCATGTAGATTGCCACACTCAGATAAACCAGTGCGACGCAGCTGATGACAATGGTGAACTGACAAAGGCAGATGCTGCCGCATATTCTGCGATCCTGTTCCGGTATCAGGCGACGCTTGTGCTTTCGTCCCATCGCGAACGTCCAATCGAATAAATCGCTTCTGTTTCCCTTATTTTCCCCCGAAGCGGCGGTCGACCGCGAGTCGCGAGTCGCAACGCGTGCTCCACCGATAATTTCTCAACTGGATTAATCGAAGTTTATTCTCGTTCTGCCTGTGTATCCTCTTCGAACTTTGCGACGTCTGGCGGTACCGTTTTATCCAAAGTCGATTCTGTGCAAAACATTTGAATCTTATTAGTAGTAAATTATGCTGTATACAATTCATTGAAATAGCTCGTGCAACAATTTCATCCGAAATTCTCGTCCATCTCCTCCTGCATATTGCTACTTGTAAAATTATATTGAGAACCGGATCGAATTGAAAACATTTGTTAAGGTCCACGGAGTTGTGCGAAGTAAAATTTTTAGAGACAGAAGACAACCTCGGATGCCATCCTCAATTAATTCTTCAAAATGAGAACAAACAGAATGTTGTACGATTTTAATAATAAACCGTTAAAATTGTTAAGATTAACTGTTAATAATTTAGTGATCCGTTAATTTTACGAATCAATGGATGTGACTGAATAATACATAAATATCCCCAGTACAGTAATGTCTCTCTAATTGACGCACAGATTGTCGACAGAAATGGACAAATTGGAAAGAGGAGGTACGATTAATTTGAGTCTTGCGTCTCGTTTTTATAATTACCGATTCTCAACAATTATAAAAACGAGGCGCAAGTCTCGAATAATCGTGTCTTCTCTTCCCAAATTGTCCATTTTTGTGGACAATCTAAGCGTCAGTTAGGAAAACATTACTGTATTTATATTTATTTGTCCATAAATATCGGAAACATTTCGCGACATTTCTTGGGATCTAACGAAAAATTCCCGGAAAAGTTCCCCGGAGTAAGGGCTCGAAGTAACCTTAAAAGTGACCCAGAAAATACGAGAACTCGAAGAACTGGAAGTTCGAAGAATCGGGGCTGATTCGCCAAGTTCGTGCAGACGTTACAACAGGTGTCCCGGTGTCTAATCGACCGGGCAGAAATATTAGGTCTACCGGAAAGTTCTGTCCGTTTTTGAATTGAAATATAACACAATTTTCATACATTTAATAATATTTATTGTAGAATATACTTTCCATCGTTACTTATGACTTCTTGCCAGCGCGATGGCAACCTGTAAATGCCATTTTTAAAAAATGATTAATTTTTAGAGGCGAGGAACTCGACTAGTGCTTGGTTGACATCAGCTCCAGTTTTGAATTTTTTTCCTGTAAAAAGTTTTGCAAAGAGAGAAACAAGTGATAATCGGAGGGTGCTAGGTCTGGGGAGTATGGCGGATGCGACAGAATTTCCCAGCCTAGCTCTGCGATTTTCTGACGAGCCGCCAAAGCAGCATGTGGTCTGGCATTACCATCGGTAGCCATGTTTTCACGATCGCGTCTCGCTTAATAATGACACGAGACATCTTTGTTTCAGTTTATTTAGGAGAGTACATGCGTGTAATATATTATTTTATCATGTAATGTAATGATAATATTATTATATTATCATGTAATGATAAAGAGAGATAGTCATATATGTCTCAAATCAACATGTGCATATGGATTGAAACTTGAAGTGACACTATCGGACAGAACTTTCCGGTAGACCTAATGTATCTTTCAAGACCGAATCATCGCGCTTCGTCGGCTCGAACGATTCGCCTACCAAGAAAAGTGCAGCTATGCTATCGCGTGGGCGTCCACGCAATTCCGTTGCATCATGAATACCGAGGTCTTAATAGTAGCTCATGAATACGAGCATTTCGTCTTCAAAGTTCATGACACTATTCCGACCGTAAAGAAGTTTCGTCCTTGGCGAACCGATAGCGGCTGAATTATAAAAGGTCAGATATGCAGCATTGATTTTTTCGTTACGCAGAACAGAGATCTCACGCGCGATGCTAAACCCGGTGAGTGATCCACGTGCCGCGCCGCGTCGGTGCATCGATCGTGCGAGTTTTCTTGCTCCGATACTGACAGCGTGATCCTGCGAACGTTCTGCAACGAATCGATCGTAGAACCGGGAAAGTTCCAAGCCTCGTCGCCAAGAATCGTCGAAAACTTTTCATCGATTTTAAGACCGTCTCGGAAACTAGCGTCTTTTCTACTGATCTTTTCCCTGAACAATGTCGCTTTCTTCATTTCAGGCCTGAGTCGAGGTACTTGGTCTGAGGTCGAATTACCTGCACTTGCATAGCATAATTTTGCTTTGGCATCCTACTGGAAAGAGATCGAAAACGTAGTAATTGCAAATTATTGTCGGATTTCGAATATTTTTAGCCGGCAGACGTGTGTCAAAATAAACGACCAGCGAGTACTGTGAATTAGTGAATCATAGTGAATCATCCTCATCCTCGGCTTTTCAGGATATGTATATCTGCCCGATCGTTTCGGCTAACTTCGTGCCGGCGAAACGATAGAAGATTTCAGAAACTATTGATTCAGTTCCGCGGAAAAGCATAGTCAAATGTCGTTACCTTACCAGCTAAATGTCAACAGGAATATGAAGTTGTTTTGCAGACTAGCAATGGGATCAAGTACCGGGCAAATTGGATCGAAATCTGATGACATATACTACAATAGAACGATATATAGAAAGAGCTACAAGTTGTTTTCCTCGAAACCCTGACATATCTCGTATCGACTTATTTTTTTTCTAAATCCATTGAAACATCGAATACGTAAATAGTCTTGAATTATATAGCTAATAACAGCAGTGCAGATAATGTCGTTAATTTACCAAATATTTTGTACGCCGACTGTTAATAGCGTAACAATTACAATATGTGAAGAAATTAATTATTTATGAAGATATTAATTGATTTTTCAAATCTGTGTATGCATAGATACATCATTTTATCTTTTATACAGACGTCTTCCATTTCACATATATTGAGTGCGGGTGTGAAGAGTTCATCGATAGCTCGAAGGGTTAAAATGCTTCAAGAATCTAAAAGGTCAGGGTTCGATCCCAGATCCAACGCTTTGTGAGATCGATACCATTGTTTTCCTGCTTTAACGCGATGCAATCAGTGTAGTATAAGCGTTGCAAGATTTACACAATGTTCAGAAGAATTAGAAAGATTTGAGCGGAAATTAATAAAAGGAAGCTACGTTATTTATTTGCATAGATCAAGCGTTGTCTATTTTCTTAATCGAAATAAGCCTCGGCAGATTACTTTGTCAAATTTTTCATTTCTCTGTCTGAATTTAATGCGAAGCGAAGTGTACAATATTGATTCATCTCGAACGTATGTAATTATTACGTTTCCCTATGTCATCTACAGTTTCTTATTATTATAGTACATAATAATGTATAGAATAATAATTATAATAATGTATAAAATAATAATAATGTATAGAATAATAATAATAATGTATAAAATAATAATAATAATGTATAAAATAATAATAATAATAATAATAATATGTATAAAATAATAATAGAAATAATAACGTATGAAATAATAATGTATAAAAAGAATTTTACTAATATTTGTCGGTTAAAAAATTTATTCTTATCAATTGACGAATTAATTCTTATAAATTGGTTAATGTATTCTTGTAAATCGACTAATTTATTCCATAAATTCAATTCATTTATTCATAAATATTTCATAAATTCACCGATGCAAATAATCCGAAAAAACTCGACAGAAACTGAAAAATCTCACAGTAACTCGTGCGATCTTTACGATCGAGAATTCTTGATCATTTTATCCTTCGATTTTCACGGCAGATCTCAGTCCGAGCCCCTTGCTCGTCTTCTGACAACTGCCTCTGCCCATGTCGCCACGTCTTTTTTCGCCGTGTTATTCGCGTGTCAGCCTTAATGCACTCAAGACAATTACGTGTTTTAACTTCATTAGGCATCGGTGCCAGTGTAAACAGGCGTACTCCGCCGGATGACGTGCAATTAGATACTTGTAATCCCATTACACCGTAAGGGACGATCGCTTAACGGCCATTCGAGAATAATACCTATCGATTCGGGGAAACTTTCGCGCTCCACTAAACGCACGGCCGCCTAAGAGCTTTCTTCAATGTTTCCTGAACGTTCGCGCGCGCAAAATGTTCGATGACGACGACGACGCGATACATCGCCGTTTGATTTGCTGTTTTGTCAACAGCATTGTCATTGTATGGGCCGATGTAGACGGCAAGTAACGTTATTACGAGCGCACTGCAAAACAATAGGTGTTTCAGGTGCGTTTGAAGGTTCTATCGAAAGTGTTCGAGGAACTATGCAGAAGACTCGCAACATTCAAATCACAGACATTTCTACTTTATACTGAAAACTTTCTACTCAGCAATTAGTATACCCGTGACGGCGATTAAAAATATATTTCATTAGTTCTGCTATATATTTCATTAGTCCTGTAAATTATTACATAATATGTAAATAATTACATCATATTAATATCGATTAATATTACCTGTTTAACTTATACAGTATAAATGACATCGTCCTGTGCGCCATATCTTTATGTATTATTACAAACTTGAATTTTGTTTTCTATACATTTCTTCTGCAATAGTTTGAGAAAGAGTGTAATCCAATTTGAAACGAGTCGTTGAAGTACAAACGCGACTTCATTTTTTAATGCTATTCTTCATTTTTTAACGCTATATTAATTAATAACCTGTGCATTACAGTAAATTCTCTCCAATTGTCCCACAATTTGTAAACAGAAATGAACAATTTGGGAAGAGCAGACACGATTATTCGAGCCTCGCGGCTCGTTTTTATAGTCGCCGATTGTCAAAACTATAGAAACGAGATGCGATGCTCAAATAATCACATCTTGTCTTCTCAAATCTTCCATTTTTGTGTACAATCTGAGCGTCAATTAGGGAGAATTTGCTGCACTTAAAAAAATTGTGCCTCGGACGACTCACGAAATTGATGTTAGAATACAAAATTACATTGTATAGAAATTGAATACGTATCCAATTTTAAAGATGACATTAACCCTTTGCACTCGAAGCCATTTTAACTGTAAATCTAACATAATTTTTCCACGCTGTCTCTATTTTATATGACATAGCACGTTCCATGCGTGTAAAATTGAGTCCTGTGTCTTATACAACAGTTATACTTTTAACAATTTTTCAAATCTAAATTTTGTGATATAAACATTTTTTGATAGAAACACACATTTTTTAGCGGTGCCTCGGAGTCACCACTCGAGCGCAAAGGGTTAATAATTATGTAGGCGATTGCTTTAATAATTACCACATAAAGGAAAAGTATTAAATTTGTTGTATTAAAAGCTCTACAAAAAGAGGAATAAAACGAGTTTTATATAACTGAAGACTGAACGTTGATTTTCATGTTCTTTTTGCAATGAAAATTACGCTCGTTTATTATAAATAAATTCCAAAGACGCGCATACGTATTTAAGAAAGTAAGTTGGTCGATCGAGCAAGACCGGTACAAGAAATTTGTTTCTAATATTTTCCGACGAGTATCAAAGACACGGTAGATCAATCGATGTAATATCGCGATGATATATATAATAATATATAATAATATATAATATCGCGAAAGCAATAAGCGAATAGAATGGCGATCGCGCGGTTCGGATCGCGAATTTCAATCGGGGATCTTCGTAAGTTCGGTGCGCATAGACGCGGCCGCAAGCACTTGGAGTCAACGCGAAACGTGTCCGCGATACGATCGACGACTTTTACCTTCGCCGCTATCAAGGGTTCCGCTATATGTCTCCCGTGTATCTTCGATCGAGGACAGCTGCTTAAACACCACTTTCTTTCATTCTGAGAACTCGGTCGACCGCGCGAGCCCCGACGAACGCGAGACTCCTAATGAAATTTCTAAACGCGAGAACGAATAGTTCATCGAGCGCGATTCATTCGAACGGAGCACTGGAAACAGCGATATCGGAGTCTCGGGCTAAATCGATTCGGTGGAAATTGATTTGAATATGACGGATCGAATTGTATATTTCGCCGTGGAATTCACCGTGGATCACTGTCGATTCGATGCTCGGCCGCGCACGGATCGGAATATATTCTCGCGCGATTCCCATGCGCCGGGGCGAACCCGAATGCTCAACGGAAGTAGTTCACTGTATCCACGGTTTCATTTCCATCCATGTTTCGCCGTGTACTATCTTTTCGTGGTTCGTTGACATCGAGGAGCGTTACCCGACTTCCACGGCGTCGAACGGCCGCGAGGCACCCACGCAAACCCGACGACTGTTTGAAAACAGGGATGGTCGTCGGGTATATGGTCGCAAGCACCCCCATACTGAGCTTGCGCTCTGGACAACCGTGACGTTTATGGGCAGATGCCGACCGAGCGGTATTCGGTGTTCCTTTCCGTATCGTAGAAACCAGCTCGCAGAAATGCCTCGGACGGTGGCGAATCGCCGCCTGCGTTTCATCGATAGTCGGCTAATCTGACTGCGCTCGAAAGCTGATTAATCGCGAAACACTTCGTCGAACGACGACTAAGGTTGCCATTATCGGGTTAATGCATAGGCGACCCCGCGTTTCTCTTCAGCTGTCAACGAAAAACCTCCGTTTCCATTGCAATTTCTCGAGCAACATTTTCCTACCGCTTGCGGACAATCGTCGCGATTTTCAGATTATTTGGGTTAACGATTCTGCGACGGTTGCGGAGGAATGGCGACGATGTCGGATGTTTAGAATTTTTGATACTTTCTAAAGTGGTTTTTGCCGTGCACGGTATGCATTACCGTGATGAAAGAGGAAATGCCTTTGCGATCGATTGGCGATGGCCATTTTTCCATTAGAGCTGTGCGTGGACGATCAACCCGCTGACTATAGATATATAGTCGGCTTTCGTTGTAGGTATTCGTTAAGAACTACGACTGTGGCATCGTGGTTTAGGGCACGATACAAGTGGCGATAATTATTATTGGCGGGCGGTAATCAGTATTGTCTCTGCGAAAGTACGAATTCGGTTGAGCAAAGATAGTAGAGAAAAGAAAACGATAGGAAGAGAACGAAAGTACCTGAGAAAAGAAAGAAAAGAGATCGTTTTGCCATGATGCGAGTTTGCGTGTAACGAAGAGCTTGCGGCAACAGGTAGCAGAAAATTTAGAAGGCGATCCTCCATGAAAGTATGAGACGAAAATCAAAAGTAAAAGAGTTTCCAGATTTCTAATTATTCAAATGAGTCATTTGTACTTCGTTCCGGGAAGGTAATTAACAAACGCGGCAAAAACTCTTTGATTTATTACTTTTATTTTCGTCTTACAGCGTAACGAAGAATTCAATTTTCTGGCACCTGTTGCTGAAAAATACCATCAAAGAAACATGGAATGTTAAAATCAGCGCATAGAATAGGTTACAATGATAATAATAATAATAATAATAATAATAATAATACTTCTAGTGTTACATTTGATACAGTGCTACGTCTACCACAATTTTCTGTCACATAATGCATTAAGGTGTATAAAATACAGACATTTCGAAAAAAACGAACATGTAATTCACTTTTCTTCATGGTCATGGACATTTATTATTGTAAAGAGAGATAGAGAGAGAGACTGTACCGTGCCAACGCTCTGCTCTCCCATCGATTTACGAAAGTGATTCGATAATCGATCGAAATTGTCCCAAAGGGTTTGTCAAATAAGTGCGAAGTCCGAACACGTTTAACAGAAAACATATTTCTATATATTTTAAACGAAACCGTACAATGTTATTTTTTATTTACAATAGTCCGTTAGTATCGTAGAACGATTACGTTACTATGTATAATACGTTTACGTATAGTATTCAAGACTTAATAAATACGCGCGAAGCAACGGACATACGTTTCCTCCGACAAGGTTTAAAATTCCTGAACGAAGAGTTTTTTTCCTGGGAAGCGTTCTCGAACGGTTTCTGTTTACCTCGAACTCTCGGCTATCTAGGAAACGAAAACAGGCGAGACAAAGACAGAGAAAAAACGCGCAGGGTGGTGTGGTCGAGCTAGAAACACCTAGCACAGCTTCTCTGCGATGAATGGTCGAAGAGAAACAGAGACAGAAATAGATAAATAGATAGATAGATGGATAGAGAGAGAGAGAGAAAGAGCGTGAGAGAGAGAAAGAGCGTGAAAGAGAGAGAGAAAGAGTGTGAAAGAGAGAGAGAAAGAGCGTGAAAGAGAGAGGGAGAGAGAGAGAGAAAGAGGGTGGAAATGAAAATGAGATAGAAGGGGAGTCGACGTAGCGGAGCTTAACCCTAGTAAGTGCAGGTACCGTTAGATTAGTCAAGTAACATGCGATAGAGCGTTATTATACACAAGTACCGATAGAAATAGACTTTACACTAATCGCCGCATACGAATCCGCTAACCGTACTTAAACATAATTATTCGGCTTCGGGTCGCGTTTACGGCGCGGCGCGATTGCGATCGAGTCGATCGCCTTTTGGCGTATTTCACCGCGCTCGCGTTCCCACGAATCGAATAATCGATTCCAGGTCCGACGGATCCTCGGTTCCTCCTAAAATTTCATAATGGGTCTATCTAATTGCATCGATCGACGTCTTCGTCCGCGATTCGATTCGATACGATACGCATGCGCTGGACTCTCGATGATCGCTCTTCAGGCGCTAATCGGCTAACGAATTGGCACTAAACCGATTTGATATGAGAGATATGGAAATGCGTGCAGACGGGCCAGGCCACCATCGCTTTTCTCGGGATTGTCCGCGTGTGACGCGACGATCGTTCGCCTCCTGGTGAACGCATTAGGTCAAGCACGCCGACACTCTCCTCATTTCCGATTGGGAACGATCACGCCTAGCTTTTACGAACGCCGCCGCACTTTTTTCTTCTCTCTCTCTGCATCGCGCGTTCCTAGAATGATCGGCTCACGTTATGCCTTCGTTTCACGCTTTCTATATTTGCTCGGCCGCGTTCCGTGTACACTGATAGCCAAAGGTACGAGACCAACGTCCCCCCATTCGACCTAATTATTTCACTCGCGTACAGCGTTTACAGCTTTCTCGGTGTCCAATTTCGATTTGAATGGCCACTTGTAACGCGATCGGTTGCTGGTGACTATACACACTCGATATGTGCTGCGGCTCCGTTCGGCGTTCTCGCGATTCTCTGCAGTCGCATACTGAAACTGTCGATGGCAGTGTGAAATAATACTTGAGAATGATAACGGGCTCGGCAAGCGACCATACGCGTTTCATTCCGGCATTTACTTGCAACGCGGATCAACGATCTTCTCTTTACCGGCGCGGAGACTTGGCGTCATACTTTTGGTCGATAGTGTATCCTCGTGTTATCCAAATACATCCTAACATCGTGATACATATTCGTTTTTTTTTTGCGAGGACGTTTTTATTTCGACAAGCGCGCAACGATAAAACGCTGAACAACATCGTTGAGCAGAATCGTGTCAACAGTGAATATCGATTTACCGTCGGCGATGTTTCCTCGATTAAATGATTTCTTACTTTAGACGTGTTAAAAAAACTTTTCGTTCGGTGACGTCGCCGAAGATATTGTTCGAAAAACGTGGCAGCATCGCGCTCGGGGTGATTCAAGCGTCGAGAGAAAGACGCGCGTCGGTGCCGGATGAATCGGACCGACGACGGCCGAGCGTATAACGTGAGCCTATCCTAACAACGACCAGCGATCGTCGACGCTCCGACAAGTTGATCGACATCGGTGATTATCCCGCGTTCGATTGCTCTCGCGTTCAAATGTACGCCGAAGCGTAAACGATTAGCTTAAATGTTCGTTCGTTGCGCGCTCGTTCGGCTTCGCGTACAAATCTCCGTTTTCACGGCTGATCGTCCCATGTGTCGAGCGACTTGAGCAAAGTGTTTCCACGCGACAGAAGGCGCAAAAATACGTAGTTCGCTGGATGAACAAAGTTGCGCTCGATCGTTCGATTACGCGCACGCTAACGGAAATCGATTAGCAAGCTTCGAGTGGGGAATGAGTGCCGACACGCAGGCTCCGTTGGAGAATCCCTTTCCCTGCGAGGGGAAGGTATCGGTCCAACTCGACGGACGCCTCCGGCAAGGCCGAGTAAAGGATTCACAACCATTCTAGATGTACCGGGTTGCGACGTAGTTTCCGTACGCTTCGAAACAACCGGGCGAACCGTTCCGATTCGGCGCAAGTGTAACATTCACCGAACGGTCAATTTATCGAGGGTCAACGATTCAATATAATATAACCATCCGCGATAACGCATTACAACTACTCAACTGGACGATAAATGAGTAATCTCTCTCTCTAACAAATCGATGCTTCGTCTAGATAATAGCAAACATTTTTTTGTAACATATCCTCGAACTGTTTTTCAAACCGAATTTCTACAGGACGTTTCATTAGAGAGCTTTTGTTGGCGCGCAATGAACCCCTTGCCGTACTTTCGATCAGGTGCGAATGTTATACCGTTCTTTTATCGTTGAGCCTACCGAGCTTATTATGATAATATATAATGTAATAATGACAATATGATTACAATAATAATAATAATATAATAATATTATATAATATAATGATATTATTATATATAATATTAATATTAATATATAATATAATTATTAATATAATACAATAATATTAATTATTATACATTAATATTAATATATAATATATTATGATAATCAAGGAATTCGTTCGATCGCGTCTTAAGAAAGATTCTTAGTCAAGTCAGAATTAAATTCTGTAACTTGAAACATGTGATAAATATCAATATCCCCGTCCTCCAGAAAAATGATTACAATCGATAAAGTTTTTAACCACTGTTACCGCAGAAAATGGTACGCCAAGGGGTTAATCCGCTAACAACTATAATAGTTTAGATATAAACTGCATGTCGCGTGTCATGAGAATCATCGTAAAATTAATAGAGACCTGTAAGTCTGTGTTAAATGAACCGAATTTCTGAATCTAAGCTATATGTTACTCTTGACATGCTTAGTGGAGAATTCAATTGAAAGACTGCTTGCTTTAATAACGGCAATTCTAATATTACTGCGTTCAAGTTAGACTTTAAAAGTATAAGATATCGATAATCATCGGCTTTGAAACGGTAATTATGTTCCAGCTTACGGTACATTTTACGCGAATAAATAATGATTCTCTGCATTTACGTAATATCGCCAACAAACTATAACTCTATTTTATGAAACGGCCCGTGTAACAGAAAACTTGTATATATATAACTGCGTAGATAGGTGTATATGTATATATATATCGTATGGTATATATAGAAATTTCTACTATTCGAGAGTGCAATGAATTCTTTCTTTCGGTTGGCTAACTATGGTCGCTAGATCACGTTGTTTCGTAGCTTATGGGAACAAATCGCTCATCCCTTCGAAAAAACAAAACTGAAATACTGATCTCTACAGCTGTAAACTACGTGCGCAACGACGCGTGCATCTGTGCACTTGCGCATTACGCGAATATCTCGTTTAGCTAGGGCCAAGACGCGATTTGCGTCCGCGTAAAAAACTGGTTAAATTTAACCCTTTATATCAATCTCTGTAGATTAATTAATCGGTTAATATTCACAGACTTAACTTACAGCCTAGACTTAACCTACGAATTGTTTTATTTATTCATTTATTGATTTATTTATTTGTTTGTTTACTTATTTGTTTTTTGGTGCGAAGACAGATCCTGGAGGCGATCGCGTCACTATTCTCAGAATTACAAATCATGGATACGTTATCACATAATTGCTGATTACGGACGTTCAACTCAGAAATGAATGTTCTCTTCGAGAAACCATTGGAAAAGAAAGACTACTGTTAGGCTATTTTTGATATAACATTGCGATCGTCTTTGAAAACGTTTTGTTGCTTTCGATACGCTCGCGGTATGGTAACGAGCTTCCGAAAAAAAGCATCGAGGAAATTATCCGAATGCGCGTGACACGAGCCTTCGTAGGAATTTGATTATCCCTCTTCGAAACGCTCGATAAATCGATTGTTGCTTCTGTAATATAGGCAGAGTTTCATAATAGGTGTAACATTTTTGCGGATCGTCCGCGTTGCTAACTTCCGGCGAAGCAAAAATCATTTCGCAGCCTTGTTTCTTCCCCACGATCAGTTCCCAAATCTTCTCTCAGTCACTCGTCAATTAACCGAGCTCTATCTTCCCATAGATTCTTAAATTTCTAAGTATAATACACATTACGTTCCATTGTTTAACATCGCGAAAGAAAAAGGAAAACGCGTTAAGGCTTGACAAACGCCGCAAAAGAAAAGAAAGTACGCGCGTAAAGCACCGATAAACGAACTTCTCCATCGGAGGCCAATCTTCCAAATAAGCTTCCGTGCTCGCGAAATATGCAAAATCGATCCACGTATTATGAAATTCTCTGGAAAGCTCAGCCAGCTTTCGTCGACGTCCCTAAAATTTTCGTTGATTTCTCATCGGTGGATGAGAAGAGGACGCGCGCGTTGCGTTGAAACGCCGAAAGAAAGAAACGATACCGAATGTTCGGCGAATAGAACTTGAAGCCACATCGAGATGTCGATAAACGTTTAATTCGAGTGAGAAGTATTACGATTGATTTTTCCTGTGTTTGCAATTGCTTCTCCACTAGTCGTTCGAATTCACCCGAGTCCGAGTAAGCACGACTTACGACTTACGACATACGGTCTTACGAGTTAGGGTACACGAGCTGATCCGCTTATCCTATTAGAAACAAATGCTGCGTTTAAAACGTGTCACTTAACGGACATTGATTCCATACGCGTTACGTTTATCACGTTTTAGAAAGGCGCACCTATTTCGTCGTACTTCTGAACCACATTTAAATACTGGTAGATGATCGTCGTTCTCCGCTGGCAACCAGCCGCGTTCACCTCGTTTCAATTCACTATCCCCTTTAGCTCGTTTTATTGCATCCGTATAAAAAATCTTGCGGCGACGTGCTTCTCCCTCCCTTCCCTTCCTTTTTCTTTTTAAAAAGAACGATCGCGATCGTTGTACGGCGAGATTATCTGTTTCTTGGTTCCACGTTGCGCGGTGTAAAAATATCGCAGACATCTGATTAATTTGTACGAGCAAGTTACTCGGAGAAATTACGGATTGCAGTGTCGGCGCGCGTCGTCTCGCGATTCGCGCCAACGCAACGCCAAGCGTTTCGAGTGATCACGACAGATTAATCGCGGTTAGATTAATCGGGAGAAATTAATCGCTTACGCTTGTAAGGTCTCGCTGGAAACTGATTCGGAGAAAACAAACGGGTGTGGGTATCGTCATTGGCAACACAGTACCGCCCCATGAATCGATTTGAATTTCCTTTCTTTTTTGTGAATGATCGCAAAATCCGCGGGATCATAATGCTGTTCTCGGCACAGCCGGTGTCTTTTGATTTTTTAGCGAAAGCATAAACCGATCAAGCGCGCGCGATAAATTCCATCGATTTCGAACGTCATCGTTGGGAATGGATCGATTCGAAATTAATTCCGGTGTAGCGAAGTGTTTCACTTCGTCGACGAGATTTCTGTTAATGCTGCTATATTGCTTCTGAACGAACGCTTAAAGGTTAAAACGTAAAGTACGCTGGAGACTTTCGGTTGTTTCTGCGGCGTCACTCCCGCGCTGGGGGGTGAGCCCTTGGTAGCAGTCAGTATTCTTCCTCGTCCTCCTCGAACTCGTCCTCTCCCAGGATACTGTACGAGCACATCAGAAAACTTTCGATAGGAGAGACAGAATAGTTGTCCACGTCTCGCTACGTAGCTAAGCGTTACTTCGAGGAATTCTATTGATCTTCCTCGACGCAGATCTAGTCACCGTGGCAAATTTATTCACGGCGAAACAGAAGCGTAGCTTGCGAAGATCGTCGAACGTCGAACAGAATTTTCAGGAGAAAAGAGGTAGTTCGAAATTGTCGATTGAAACGCGCGCGAAGTACATTCGTTATTTACGGTGTCTACGAGTTGGCTTCCGCGCGTGTAAGACCGATATCGATTCCTCGAAGCAATTCTAGTGTTGTAAAACGGTATAGAGGTTCTTCTAGCCGCACTGGGCACTGTATACATACACGTTACTTACTCTTCCTTCCTGGCGTACTTCTCAATGAGATTGCGACCTGGTCCGCCGCAAGACTTGCCCATTGGCGGACAGTACCAATAGCACAATACAGCGACAGACACCACGAACAGAACTATGGGCACCACTAATGCTAGCACCAGATGCCTAAGGTTCTCGTCCCAGGAATACCTACGAGAACGCAAAACACTGTATGAGAACGTCGTTGGATTTCGCAACGCACCGACGAATACAAATTTTTCAACGATCGTAAGAGAAGTTAAATAACACAAGTTGAATAAACGTGGATTGTTCGCTTCGATGATTTTGTTAAGCCGGAAATTGTCGAACGATATTATTAACGATATTATTCCCACAAAGTAAAAAGAAATTTAATTAATTAAACCGAAAGTAGAGAAAGTTAAAATTGATCGTGGCGGATGACATTAGAACTCTTTCGCATCCGAAACATCCTAGACAAATTCAGTTTGTTCGAATATATTACGATGAAAATGAATTTTCAAAATTGGTAAAAAATTAGTGTCACGATATATACCACCGCAATACAATGATTTCTTCAAATCTCTTTCACGCACACAAAATGTAGATGAGCGATAAATTGTTTTGTAATTTATGTAGTTAAAAAATCTTTAGAATCGCATAAATTATGTTTTTGAACTGTTGTAAAGATATATAAAAGAAATTGAGTATTGCTTTTTCAATTTGAAGCATCTTAAATTATGTTGAACGGACTTGGACTCCTTCAAATCTTATAACGAATTTGGTTGTTAACTTTCAAAGTGGCCTAACTCCATTCTTGGTAAGAAAACGCATATTATTCACTTAATAATTGCCATTATTTTAATAGTATTAGTATCCTCACTNTACTCTTCCTTCCTGGCGTACTTCTCAATGAGATTGCGACCTGGTCCGCCGCAAGACTTGCCCATTGGCGGACAGTACCAATAGCACAATACAGCGACAGACACCACGAACAGAACTATGGGCACCACTAATGCTAGCACCAGATGCCTAAGGTTCTCGTCCCAGGAATACCTACGAGAACGCAAAACACTGTATGAGAACGTCGTTGGATTTCGCAACGCACCGACGAATACAAATTTTTCAACGATCGTAAGAGAAGTTAAATAACACAAGTTGAATAAACGTGGATTGTTCGCTTCGATGATTTTGTTAAGCCGGAAATTGTCGAACGATATTATTAACGATATTATTCCCACAAAGTAAAAAGAAATTTAATTAATTAAACCGAAAGTAGAGAAAGTTAAAATTGATCGTGGCGGATGACATTAGAACTCTTTCGCATCCGAAACATCCTAGACAAATTCAGTTTGTTCGAATATATTACGATGAAAATGAATTTTCAAAATTGGTAAAAAATTAGTGTCACGATATATACCACCGCAATACAATGATTTCTTCAAATCTCTTTCACGCACACAAAATGTAGATGAGCGATAAATTGTTTTGTAATTTATGTAGTTAAAAAATCTTTAGAATCGCATAAATTATGTTTTTGAACTGTTGTAAAGATATATAAAAGAAATTGAGTATTGCTTTTTCAATTTGAAGCATCTTAAATTATGTTGAACGGACTTGGACTCCTTCAAATCTTATAACGAATTTGGTTGTTAACTTTCAAAGTGGCCTAACTCCATTCTTGGTAAGAAAACGCATATTATTCACTTAATAATTGCCATTATTTTAATAGTATTAGTATCCTCACTAGTATCCTGTACGTATATTTTTAATTGCATTGAAACACAGATCCTTAAATATCTCGATTTAAGTATAAATGGACTTAGGCCACTTTCAAAATTATCGGCTCATGTGACCGACGCTGCGCCCAACGTGTTAAAATCGTTTTTGCGACGAACGCGTAAAATCCGCAGTCTACCGATAACACAGGATTCGTGACTGCGGGAGAAAAAAGGAAAGCAACGATCTGAAACGAATGAACACGAATACGACGACCTTCCATAGGCAGTCGCATGAGGTTAATTACGTATTCATCGTTTCCTTTGGCAGCCGGTGTTCCACAAACGGGAAAACAACTAGCGTCCTATTAAAGTATAATTTCCGATGGAACGCGAAAGAAAAATCGAAACCAGCCGAGATCGAAATCTCTAAAGGCACGTGATAGTTTGCGGTATTCGCGATGCGCATCGGACACGACACAACACGACACGACCCGACGCGACACGGCACGACCCGTTTTGCACGGTCGCCCCCGGTTGGTCGTTTCGTCGGAAATACGCAGAACAAGTATAATTATACCTCGCGACGACGGTCTCGGGATACGTTCTGCTGTAATAACAGGGAAATATCTTCCCAATGTTCGAGAATCCGTATTTCCTCGCGAAGTCGGAACAATTGACCCGAGGCGGGTAGCCGCAGCCTTCCGTGTTCACGAAGAATTTCGTGTCCGGCACATCCCAGGGAATGGAACCGAGCGGTTTCGCCATGTATTCCTCGAACGACAGTCGCGTGTAGTTCACTCTGATTTGGTGACAACGTAGAGCAGCGCTGGTACAACCTGCAACAATATTTCCGTACACTTGAAACACAACGTGAACGCCGATCGTTCGAGCATCAATTTTTCTACCCGAAAAACGCATTAGCAACGCTTCCAAAAGAAATGGTCGCAATATTGGTCGCATCGAATATTGTATTTTTTTTTAATCGCGAATGTAATTCGTTAAGGCTGTTACGAGACTATTGGCAGTATGAAAAAGATCGAGAGATTTTAGGAGCGGTCGATGGATAGCGTTACCTTCTCTACAGCTTGCCCAAGAGCAGTTCTTGAGTCCCTCAGCGTAAACGTGATCGGTGACAACACAGGCTACGGCGTGAGGAGAGAAGTCGGCCAGGATCGTGGAGATCGCTGGCTCGACCACGAAAGGAATTAGAAATAGGAACGCGAAGACGGCGAGGATCGCCGTGGTGCCCAGGCAGAGGGACGTGTAGAACTTGGCCTTCTCTACCAGCGATGCGACCTCCACCACTGGTAGCACCCCACCCATGGTGCTCGACTTGGTATCCTCTTCCTGGGCACCCATGATCACCGTCGACTCGTCGGAATCAATGATTGGTTCGTTTCCCGGGTCGCTGGGACCCTCTTCTTCGCTCGAAATTGTTCCTTGCGGCGGAATCGCCTGACCCTGACCCTGACCCTCCACTTGGGCCTCGCTCGATCTCAACCGCGTTCGCCTTTCTTTTATAAATGCAACACGCTATTTCCGCGTGGATCGATCGGCCCAGTGAATCAAATCGAAGGGATCTCCTCTTCTGCGAGAGCTTGTTCGTTCGTTAAGGATATCTGTCCTCGTACGGAGTAACGGATAGAGTCGGCTTATATTATAATTATACTTTCAGAATAGTAATGAAGCGAAGCGACTGTCAGTGACCCGGGCAACGGGTTTCGGCTGCTATCGGCGCGGAGATCGTGATCGATCATATACCAGCAAGGCACGTCCTTTTGATACCGAATTTGTGTGTGTGTGTGTGTGTTTTCCTGGTGTACGGTGTAGTTAGAATATATCAGCTTAGTGTCGATACGAAGAGATGTCTCTCGTGTTAAGAAAGTTATCTTATCTATGGTCACGGCGAATCAATCAGAAGGGGGACACTTAAAAGCTACCGACGATTATCACGTGTATAAGAAAAAACGCCGAATTCTCTTGTTCCTTTTGTTCCGTTCGAAGGTTCGTCGTATCCGAAAGTTTCTTTGAGCCAAAATTCAGGATCTCCTCCTTCTCCTTTTCCTTCTCCTTCTCCTCCTCCTCCTCCTTCTCTCTGGTAGCAGGAGAGTAACAGCCGAGAGCAGCGCGAGCAATTGGAACGTCCGCGCGAAGCGGTTGCCTTCGTCCCCGATGCAATCACGGGGCTTTATACTTTATACAAAAAAGCACGTGCGCTCTCGAAAGTGTCTGTGCAGCTGGTGCAAGTAGGAAAAATTCTTTGACTTGGTACGTTTCGTTCCGGACCGCTTGCTCTCCGGTCTGCTCTTTCTTTTTTTTTGTCTTTAGTTTCACGATGCTTTTGCAGGAATATTTCTATTTGCTTTTTGTAAGGTTTTGCAAGATGAGAATTTTAACCACGCGTTCCCCCCCTCCCCACACCTTGACAATGCCCGCGCAGGGAGAATATCTACTGACGAGCCGGACTCTCCTGCAGGAGGGGAATGCCTGCGAACAGAAAGAAAACGTTTCGTCAGGTACGCGAATTTGTTTTGCCTCGGTTCTCGAGGAAACTTTGCAGAAAGATAAAGCTGACGTGCTTGTTTTGACTCGTCGTAGATCGGAATTTTCTATTCGCGTGGAATTTTAGCTGACAATGGGAGCATCCGAGTCAAAATGAGCTTGCATTAGCCGAACGAAGCTCAACAAGTATATTAAACGGATAATGCACGAATTTTTGGTGCCTTTGAAACTGGTCGCCATTACTCTCTGTTCGAACTATAGTTTCTCTATAAGGAGTTGAGTTATACTGTATATAATTTTCCATGGACACGAAGTTTCGGTCACATATTCAGAAATACATATTTTCTTTCAATCGAAATACTACCGAACATGATAATAGATCATTAATCGTACCGTAGATAACCGTAAACAGAGATTCAATGTACATTTCGTCAAAGTTCCAGTCATCATTGAAAATAGCCTAGACAACAATATTTTGACAATTAAAATGAAACACTTGTTTCAAACGTGGGCCAGATGACTTCAGCTTTCAATCGTTGTTCTCGCATGGAAAATGATAACCGTAAACAGAGATTCAACATATATTTCGTCAAAGTTACAGTCATAATCGAAAATAACCTTGACAACAAAATTTTGCTAATTAAAATGAAGCAATTGTTTCAAACGTGGACCAGATGACTTCAGCTTCCAATCCTTGTTCTCGCATGGAAAATGATAACCGCAAACAGAGATTCAAGATATATTTCGTCAAAGTTCCAGTTATAATCGAAAATAACCTTGACAACAAAATTTTGCTAATTAAAATGAAGCAATTGTTTCAAACGTGGACCAGATGACTTCAGCTTCCAATCGTTGTTCTCGCATTGGAAAACGATTTCAAACGAACACGGCTAAGGAAAGCTGTGAGAATCGAGTTCCGCTGTCAAACTGATCGTTGCGCGAGATCCGAGAGAAGCTGAAGTCGTTCGAACGTATCGTAGAGGCGCGCGAATGGGCTTTCCCGTATCTCGTGTTCCGCAAAGCTAATCCGACCGACGATCGGGCAAGTTCAATGAGAGTCGCGCTGGAAGGCGTTCCCACGGGCAAGTTAGTCGTTAGAGGTCCTTATGGCGCATGACGATTCTTACATGCCGGATCTCAGAGCGCCATAGCGGAGTTTCCTCCGCCAGCATCCCCTAGGTTACCCGAAGCGCTCTTCTCTTTCGCCGCGAGCGCGGCGGCCGTGCCCTTGAATCTCATCCTGGCGTCGTCGCCGACCACCACGCTCCTTTGACAAAAGATCAACGTCAAGCAACTAACTACGAAGAGAACGCTAGGCAGGATCAGCGCGACCAGGAACTCCTTGTAGGTGTTCTCGAGGTTGAACCGGGACACGACCACCCCGGTGTTCCCCTCGCCGTAGTAACAAGGGAACCTGGCGCGGGCGTTATGATCGGAGCCGTCTTTGCCGTACTCGTGAAGGAAGTCCCGGCACTCGTCGCGGAGCGTGTTCACGCAGCCTTCGAGATTGATGAGCAACCGGCTCTCGTTGGCGATGATCAGGTCCTGCTCGGGCGGCGCGACCATTCTGGTCTCGTCGAGGGGCTTGGTGGCGTACAAATTCAGGTAGGACAGGTACGTGAAGTTGGTCAGGTCGGTGAGAAGGTCCTTCTCGAGGACGGAGCCGTTTATGCAGTCGACCGCCTCGACGCCCAAGGTCGAGTTGAATATTCCGTAGCAGGACGCCATCATGACGTCGCCGCGGTCCTCGTGCCATATCTCGCGGTTCGACTCGACGTCTATGGCGCGCTCGCACTGGCTCAGATAGACCTTGTCGCCGCTCAGGAGTATCATGTTCTTGTTCCTGGTCGGTATGTCGACGCACCTGCGGTCGCAGTTGTACGGCGTTCGGATGCGCTCGCAGGTGCCCCGATTGCAATTGAACAGGCCGTCTATGTCTATGCAATTGATCTTGCCGCGTCGACCGGAACACTTCATCGGCGTGTCGGTGTCGTGGAATATGCACTCGAACGCGTCCGTGATATTGATGCACACGCCGCTCGAGCAGTTGAACGTGCCGGTCAGGTTCCGGCACTCGTCCGCGATGCACTTCGATTTCTTCGCGTTCTCCTGATCGATACCGTAACAAGTCTTATTGGTAGTGTTCGTGCAGTTGGCCAGCAGGATCGTGGAGCCGTTCCTGCGTAGATTAACGTGGATCTGAACACAGGGGCCGGAGGTTTTCGAAAGGCACCACTCGCCGCAGCTGCCCCAGTCGCAGTTGTCCGCGTTCACCGCGCGTATCGTCGTGCACATCACCGGCACCTCGCTGATGCCGGACTTGAACGCCCTGGTGCTCGGCATGTAGATCGCCACCGTCAGATAGACCAGCGCGACGGAGGATAGGACCGCCGTCATCTGGCAGATGCAGATCGTCCCGCATATCCGGCCATCCTGCGGCGGGATCACCAGATTCTCCACTGGCACTTGCTTCGGCATCGTTCCCTTCGGCTGGCACTCGACTCGGTCCGATCGCTGTCCTCGCCGGGATCCTCGCTCCGCGGACGAACAATCCTCTTAGATCGGTCTGCCCATGTTGACGGCTCGCTGGGATCTACATCGTCGCCGTCATCGCCGCGCCGATTCAAAACACTCTGTCCTATATTCCACGGTTGATCGCTCGTATCTATAGTCGGCCTGTAACTATGGACCTCGCGGCTCGGCACATCGACGTTTTATCGATAGGCCGCGCGAACGGATTCCGCAGGCTATAGGCCAGCCAGCGATACACGTTGTGGACGGACGCGGCCGACGCGGGGACGTTACGGTCAACGACGGTGTCGTTCCATCGAAGCGACGCGGGTCTACGATGTGCTCTCCCAGCTGTCGGTGGATCGGTGTCGACCTATCGCCGCCCAGAGGAGCGCACCGTTCTTCGAGGCATTCCCACTGGCGTCCTCTATGGAAACGTTGGGCTAGGTCGGGCTCGAGTCGATCACAGGTCCCGTCGCGACGATCCCCCGACGCCGATCCCGAGCGGCGATTCTACGCGAGGATTCGCATCGCGGACACCGCGAATTCCACGATTCCACGGGATTCTCGCGCGAGCAATCCGAATACGGTGGACGGCGCGGCCGCGGCGTTTCTTTTCGACGGCAGGACGAGGCTGCTGGCTGGCTCGCTGGCTGGCTCGCTGGCTGGCTGGCCGCACGCGTGCCCCGCTTTCGGTCGCTTTGCGCCTCGTGCGGGCTGCGCGGCGCGGCGTCGCAACTCCTCGCAACCTCGGCCGGCGTCGTCGCGCGTCGCGGCCTCGCGCATCGATCACTTTTACCCGCGCATGCGCCCCGGCCGACTGCAACGACGCCGAGCCGCGCCGCGACGCGCCATGCAACTGCCGCATTTGACGTCATCGATACACACATCTACCCGCCCCATCGTCCCTACGCGAGCGTGTCCCTCTGTTGCGGCCCGATCGTCCAGAGATGGCATCGCAGGATCCGCCGAAAATTCATCCCGACGGATCGCGTTCGATCGCGTTTCGACGGAGGTGCGACCACACGAATACACACATCTAGAAAGTAGGAATCTGTCGACGGATAGATTACTCGTCGTCGGATAGGCTCGGCAAATGTTTTCGTTGCCTCGGCGTTCTCGACGTTTCGGGGCCCGGTTTTAATGTAAACTCTGTGTCCGATAAAGTAGAATCTCGATTATTCGAACAAACCGTGAGAACGCGTGAACGGTCGAATAGATTTAGGCTTTACCGGCTCGCGTGATAATTGGATTTAGATCGGGTTCAAATAATGGGAACTCGAGTAAGGAACTCGTCGCGTTGTTTTACCAATATTTTTGGAGGAAACGTTTACTAGCAGCGAAAGCATGTAATTAGCCCGTTGCTCTGTAACAACGAGTCACGATGATGCAGTTTCTGTGAACATAGTAGGAGGATGTGGGTTGAAGTTCTGTCGCGTTTAACCGCGGCATACGACGCCTGGTATTCTAACAAGGTTGGATCAGGTTTTTATATGCCGTTGCTATAGCTACGATACTCTCCAGTTACTCCAGGGATCAAGATTTCGTAGACATTTTTATGTACGTTTATCGTGCTTTTGAAGAACACTTTGCGAAGATATTCATTTGTTGCGTCACAAACGAAGCGGAACCACACACACACACACACACACATTCCTTTAAATTAATATTAAATTATAAATCAGTGAATTATAAATTAGCGAAACAGCGAACGCATTTTACGTTTCGACGAAAAAATTCGACAGAACGAAAGTCGAACGAGAAACGAATATGTTTACAGCAATGACGTGTCTCTTAATCTTCACAGAACTCTGTCTACGATCGTCGCGAATTTTCATCCGAGGAGCTGTGATTTTGGTTCAAAATTTCGATAGAAGTATTACGGTCAATCGTAACGCGACAATCCTTCGATGAACAAATAAAAGTAGGAGGACTTATCGGCACCCACGCTACAAGAGTGTCCGGTCGGAAGCTTTCCTTGGGTAACAGGTGAAATTGGAAATGCATTGCATTTTGGATATTTCGAGTTCTCGGCGAACAAATATCGCGGGAACGTAGGATGTGCGTATAGGAAGATACGAGGAGGCAAAATGTCGCCAAAAACACGTTCCGCCGTTGTACGTTTCTTCTACGATATTTGCATGGATTGCGTTAGCTTTTTTCCACGAGACCATCAGCGGCCCGACACGAACCGCTGGGGTAACTGTGACACAGTTTTCCCTACCATAGGGCTCTCGGTACGTGTGACACAGTTTCGAGAGTAAAGCAACAGTAGTATAATACGGAAGACAAAAAACGCGGGGCTCGAAGCAGTAACGCGTAATTAATTGCGTAGACGTCGTTCCCTGGGTCGAAATATCCCATACAATTTGTTCGGATGGACATTCGGCAATTTATTCGGCAATCTGTTATATCTTCCTGATTCGATTAGGATCCGAAACACGTATGAACACTGCGAAAGCAATCGGTGTCATGCAACTGAATTTTGCAATTTTAATTGGATCACACGAAACAGTTGAATTTTATGAAATGCTCCAAGGTGGTTGGCGTGGCAGTCAAAACGTTAGGAAATGTAGGTAACGCGCGTGTGCTATTCCTATCGGAATAGAATCTTTGCCACGGTATGCCGTTCAACGTAATTATGTGTATGGTTGTATTACTAGGAATTTCAGACGCCTATCGGTCTTCTAATCGCACTGTTACGTTGCCGCATAGAGCGATGGTTATACATATAGGAGATATGCAATAGACGTTTTATAATTGCAGCTTTATGCTATCCGAATAATCTGTGCGTCTGTTCGCGGCGAGAACTTGTATATCTGTTATAAAGAATACATCATTTCAGATATAATATAGATACAATAGGTCGGTCCACAAGTTCGCGTGGTTTCATAATTTCGATTTAAATTTCTCGCATAATAATTGCCCAATAATTATGTCTCACATGTACAGGGTGTTCCAAGATTATGGTGCTTTCGCGAATTGAGAGGTTCCTGAGATCATTTGAAGTAACTTTTTCCTGAGCGAAAATGCAATCCGCGGCTTCGTTTACGAGTTATTAACGAAAAACAGTGACCAATGAAAGACGAGCTCGGCTGGCGCGAGGTGGCCGAGCCAACGGCGCCAGCGGTCGAATCCCAGCTCAGCTGGCGCGAGCCGGCCGAGCCAACGGCGCCAGCGGTCGAATCCCAGCTCAGCTGGCGCGAGCCGGCCGAGCCAACGGCGCCAGCGGTCGAACTCCAGTTACGCTCATTGGCTCGGCCGCCTCGCGCCAGCCATGCTCGCCTCTCATTGGTCAGTGTTTTTTGATAATAACTTGTGAACGATGCCGTGGAGAAAATTTTCGTAAAGGAAAAAGTTACTTCGAATTACCTCAGGAACTCCTCATTTCCCGGAAGCATAATTTTGGGACATCCTGTATTTGTTATCATAAAGAATAATTTTGAAAACGTCTATTTTTAAAATTGCAATTTTAAGGGGAAAGTTTCTTTCGGTTAGGCAGGGATTCTTTTAACAAAATTTCCGATTATATTAACACTAGATTTACGGATGTTTTATATTAGTTTATGAAAGTAACAATAAGACATTTATTCTGATTTTGAACGAATGTCATTGCAATATTTGCCGCAAGTAACTTATAAATTAAATAAATAACTTATAAATGTATCTTTACAATATGAATAATCGTAAATTAAAAAATTAATGACCAGTCATTTTGACGGGTTCCGTAAATCTAGTGTCAATGACTCCGACCAAGAGAAAATCTTATGGACTATTATTTACGGACCACTGTCCGTTATAACTCGTGCATAGTGTTTCAGAATGTGTGGTTATCTGTTATATTATATCCTAATCTGAAACCGAGGTCAAAGCACGCGATTAGAGAAACAGAATCAACCGAATTCAGTCCACGTTCCTTGGATCCGGTAAACGCACGAAGAAAATTCCCACTTATCGCGAATCCACGAATCGGAATCTCTCGCGAGGTCGTAGCACTGTGAGTACACAGAGTGGGGTGAAGGGGTGGAGGAGAAAAAAAAGAAGGTCTTAAGTGGTCCGGGAAGTATGTACAATGCAAATGAGGTTCGCGCGTGCGTGCACGAGAGCGAGGGAGCTACCCAGCGATCGCGGGATTTTTAATCGCGAAATTAAAACGGGCCGCGCACGATAACGTTCCTTCCCGGGCCCGGGACCACTTAATTATCACCGAGCATTTTCCATAACATGTACGCTCCAGTTTTTTTAATTCGCGGGAGCTCGACGCCGCGCCGCGCCGTGCCGCCATGAGGTTGCGACACACTTTTCGGTCGGCGTCGGTAGAACATTCGGAACGGGTTGACACAGTTAGGGACGAATCGGAGGAACGGCGAGCAACGGAAAAAAGAAGTGAAACAGGGAGAGAGAGAGGGAGAGAGAGAGAGGGAGAGAGTGAGAGAGAGGGTGGGAGGGAGGAAGGGAAGAAGGAACGGGAGGCTCGACGCGTTAGCACGTAATGTAGTTTATCGAGCGTCAGCCGCAGACGGTGTGGCGCCGCGCCGCGCCGCGCCGCGCCGAGTTGGTTGCTTTGGTTCGTCCCGACCTCCTCCGTCATGCGTGTCTCGCCTGCCACTTACAATTCCACTGCGAGACTTTCAGCCGCATCGCGTATGAAAATTCATGCACGCAGTGGGCGCTCGAGACGCAGGCAACCGTTGCTCTGGGGGGCACTGGCCCGGCTCTGTCGAGATCGCCAGAAGCGAAACCGAGCCTCTGCTTGCAGTTGTCAAGCATTCCTGCGGTGCCACGGTCGCCGAAAATCCACAAAACGTCATAGAAATTCGTTTTCCATGCTCGCAAGAGATCGCAGAATTATACTTTAATTATTATTATTATATATTATTATATAATATATTATATAATTATATATATATATTATTATATATTAATTATTATTATATATTATTTGAAACAGAGGCGACAAAATGCGGCGGGACACGAAGAGCTTCAATTATAAATATATAGATTCGTAATTCGTGTTAGCACATGTTGCACTGCTGTTCGACGTATCTCTTGTCTTTAATGCATATCTTGGCATCGACTAATAATTATTTACTTGTTACACGCGAATTTATAATACGAGTTTGATTTGACCATTACCGTGGGTTCGCATCGGAGTCACTGAATAACTTGTCTAATAAACGATTAGTCTATTCCATAAAAAAACTTTTCGACGTGGAGACTGATCGCCAGCATCCGAAATACGGTTCCATTGTCTGACGATAACATTCAGCGACACTCGAAGCGATTCGGAACAATACGATAACTGAATCGGTGGAAACGAGTGCTTGCTCGCGAGCGGATTGAATGGCCATCAGAGGTTCAAAGGATCTCTGAAACCGGCCGCGATTAATTTCGCTCGATGCCACCCGCGTCCTTCTTTGTCGCATTCTTTGTCTTACGCGCCTCTAGTTAAGCAAGCGCCGCGCCCCGCCGCGCCGCGGTACCTCAGTCTGCTTTTCCTTTTGTTCGTGCCATTCGTTTTTCCGCGTTCCCCTTTGTCGCTGCGTCGCTGCTCGTTAAACGAGCACGACACTCCTGCCAGCCTCCGCGAGCACGCTTACGAATATTTCGGGGCAATTTCGTGTTCCTCTGATTTACTATGCTCGTAAACGAATACCAACGCGCGCGCGCGCACCGAAACAAAAGCGTCCGGTCGTTTTTGTCGAGTGCGTTCGCCTCGGTGGCGCGAGCTCCCTTGTCCCTTGCCCCTTGTCCTTTGC